GTAACTTTGCGTATTTAAGAGCCAGTCATATCCGGTCTCGTTGTATTTTTTCCGTAAAATGTACATAAACATAAATGAAAATTGGCACATATGTTATGGACAGACACATAAAGTTCACCAGCGAGCAATGCAGGCCAGCTGGAGCCTCTGCGGTAAAGTGGCGACCTGCGGGAGCTGGAGGCCGCCGCACGAGCTCACCGCCCACAAATTATGCTCGATTGCGGTGTTTGTTTCGCCAATTTCAAGCTAAAAATCACAAAATACATTCGTACGTCGCTGGCATTCGCTGTGGACGTTTTTACCTCCTCTTGGCTACACTCTGGACTGTGATTTGATGGTGAATTTTACGGGTTTGGTTTAAGGGGATTTGAACTCTTACACACACGCAATGGCATGTAGGAAAGTATTGGTATGTAAAACACACACACACACACACACACACACACACACACACACACACACAAAAGAGAGAAGAAAACGCTAAAGAGAATCACTAGAGAATCAAAACATCAACCTCACGATTTATGAAGAGTTAACTACAGAGCCACACCTCCCACACGTCACCTGTATACAGCACGACACCTTCAAGCACGCCACTCTCTACACCTGCGTCACCTACACTCACATTCTTCTTCTTCTTCTTCTTCAGCATTAACCCAAGTACCTAGACCTAACACTCCCTCTCACACATTATATAAAAGCAACCCCAACACCTTCAGACATAACGAGGTCCCCCGCCCCGCCAACTTTGGGGTAGGGAGAGAGGAAGGAAGAGAGAGAGGGAGAGAGGAGGGTAGGGAAGAGGAGGGGAGGGATGGGAGGAGGAGGAGGGTGTCAGGAAGGAGATGGAGGGTAGGGAGGGGAGGGTAAGAGAGGGAAGTGGTTAGAAGGAGGATGAGGGAGGGAGAGTAGGAGGTAGGGTATGAGGAGGGGTAAGTGGTTGAGGGAAGGGAGGTGGCGGGAGGAGGGGGGAGGGGGAGAGAAGGAGTCTGTATTCAGTAGTGCCAGAGGGCGGGGCCATTATGGCCAACAAACACTTCATCCCCTGTCACCTGTCGCTGTCTGGCGGGCTCCCAGAGCCACCCCTGATTATGCCATTGTTTCGGGATCAAGACGATGGAGGCACACGGGGGAGGGGGCAAGATGGAGGATGAGGAGGAGGGGGAGGGGGGGAGGTTGAAGAAGGGGAGGATGAGGAGGGGTTCACTCATGAGGCGGGGGGGGGGGTAGAGGAGGTTGAGTGCGATGCCTGGAAGTGAAAAGGTGAATGAATTGTGGAGAGGGGAGGGGGGTGCTGAGGACGTGGGAGAGGGAAGGAGGGAAAGCTGGTGGGAAGAGAAGGGAAGGAGGTGGTGTTGGGGGGAAGAGAAGGAAGGAGGTAGTAAGAAGAGAAGGAAGGGGTGTTGGGGGGAAGAAAAGGAAGGAGGTGGTGTTGGGGGAAGAGAAGGGAAGGAGGTGGTGTTGGGGGAAGAGAAGGGAAGGAGGTGGTGTTGGGGGAAGAGAAGGGAAGGAGGTGGTGTTGGGGGAAGAGAAGGGAAGGAGGTGGTGTTGGGGGGAGAGAATGGAAGGGGTGGTGTTGGAGGAAGAGGAAGGAAGGATAAGGGTCGCTGTTGATGGCGACGGTGGTAGGTGTCATGGTGGTAGCTGTGATGGTGGTAGGTGTGATGGTGGTAGGTGTGATGGTGGTAGCTGTAATGGTGGTAACGGTGATGGTGGTTGCACCGTTAGTTATGGCTACAGTGGTAGTTAAGGGTGATGGCGTGAGATGGCGGGAAGAGTTATGGCAGGAAGAGTTGGTGTAGCGGGGAGAGTTGGTGTAGCGGGGAGAGTTGGTGTAGTGGGGAGATGATGATGATGATGATGATGATGATGATGATGATGACGACGATGCAGAAGAAACATGATAATGATGACAACAATGATAACAAGTCATGGTTGTAGTGTTGATGGTGGTGGGTAGTGATGATAATAGTGATGGGTATTGGATAGTGATGATAGTGGTTGTTGTTAGTGATGATGATGGTGTGGTGGTGATGATTTGTCAAGAATACGGAGTAGGGAGGAGAGAGAGAGAGAGAGAGAGAGAGGAGAGAGAGAGAGAGAGAGAGAGAGAGAGAGAGAGAGAGAGGGAGAGAGAGAGAGGAGAGAGAGAGAGAGAGAGAGAGAGAGAGAGAGAGAGAGAGAGAGAGAGAGAGAGAGAGAGAGAGAAGGGAGAACATGGTGATGATGGAGGAGATGAAGCAAGGGGATGTGACGAAACGAGAAACTGATGACCGGAGAAGACAGGGGGCTGAGGGGGGTTTAAAACCATTATGACATCCTTCGACCTTTCTGACAAAAACACACAGGATAGGGGAGGACCCTCAGAGAGATGTTGGAAAAAGGAGACAAATAAACACTTAAAATAAACGAACTGGAGAAGGGCAGAAATAAATCAAGATATAGAAGAAAGAAATAAATAAAATAAACTTACAAATAAAACACTCTCAATATGTGAAAACACACACACACACACACACACACACACACACACACACACAAAGTTCAAGTCCAAACTCAAATATTTCTTTCAAAAATAACAAAAAATAAATAAAATCGTGGCCCACATAATCCTCGCCTCGGTGTGATTAGTGATGATGGCGTCACCTTAAGGTAATTACGTTCCCTTGCCCAGGTAGACGAGCTCATCAGGTGGCAAGAGGCTGTCATTTACCTTTATATAATGAGAGTACAGCAATATGCCTTCAGCCCACCCTACGAGTTGACTAATTTCATAGGTTGATCCGATTTCCGTTCATGGGTTGATCCGATTTACGTTCATGGGTTCTGATTTCCGTTCATGGGTTGATCCGATTTACGTTCATGGGTTGATCCGATTTACGTTCATGGGTTGATCTGATTTCCGTTCATGGGTTGATCCGATTTACGTTCATGGGTTAATCTGATGTACGTCCATGAGTTGATCTGATTTACGTTCATGGGTTCTGATTTACGTTCATGAGTTGAACTGATTTACGTAAGGTATAGGTATAAGCCTACTGGAGAAAAAAATTGAAATAATTTTCTTAACTAAGGTAGGCCTATTTGAGAAGACATAAACATTATTATTAACTCTTATCACTAACAACAACGTCGATATTAACATTGCAGAAAGAGAGGAACAGAAGACATAATTTACCGTAACTAAAGATACATCAAACGAAGGTAATACTATTTTTAATTACAGGTGTGTGAAGATCTACCTGGCTAAATGTTAATTACCTTTCCCCTATAAAAAATATATATCATAAGTAAATAAAAATACAGACTGTGCCTTAATCCCCAGGGGAAAACTTGAGAGCGTATTATATTAATTTATCAAAATAATCTGCCTGAAAGGTGTATTGATGATCATGTCTGTCTGTCGCTCTGGGAAGGGGGGGGGGGTATATTTACTCTGGAGGCGACGAAAGCTTGAGATAAACTTAAGCTCCCAACCTCAAGGGGCTCAGTTGTGAGGGGCTCAAACTCGAGTGTACTCACTCCAACTGGGAAGAGACGATCAGAGAGAGAGAGAGAGAGAGAGAGAGAGAGAGAGAGAGAGAGAGAGAGAGAGAGAGAGAGAGAGAGAGAGAGAGAGAGAGAGAGAGAGAGAGAGAGAGAGAGAGAGAGAGAGAGAGAGAGAGATAGACAGACCATGAGATAGGCCAATATACAAACAGACAGATACACAGAGAGAAATAAACTGAAGGAGACAGATAAAGAAACAGACAGAGCCAGACAGACAGAGACGGGGACAGACAGACAGACAGACCTACCAGTTTGCCACACCGTCACCGAGTTCTAATTTTTTCTCTTTTTTTTCACTTTCCTTCGAGGGAGACAGTTTCCTAACTTTCTCTCATCCTTTCTTTTATCAGATTATGGAACTTTCTCCCTTCCCTTCACTCAATCTTCTCCTTCCCCCTTTTAAATGGCGTGTCTGCTTTCTTCCCAACACAAATTTCTATTCCTTTTCCTCTCTCTCTCTCTCTCCCAAACACAGATAAACTTTCCCTTTCACCCCTCGTATACAGGTAACCTTTCCTGTCTCCCCTCCCACCTAACAAACCCTTCCTTTGCCCCTCCTTCCCTCCCTAAACATAGATAACCTTCCTACCTTAAGCATAAACAAACTATTCCAAGCAAGTTTCTCCTCCCTCACCTTCACGACACACACACACACACACACACAAAGGGGTTAAGTCATCGTACTCAAGGGGTTAAGTCATCGTACTCAAGGGCTTAAGTCATCGTACTCAAGAGGTTAACCTTATTTTTTTTCTTTTTCTCTCTTCAACTTCAATTACTTTTCTTTCACTAAATCTCTTCTGAATTTTTTATTTTTTTTATTTCATACCCTCTCTTTATCTTTCCTCCATCATCATCCTCTTTATCCTATTCTATCACTCCTTTTCTTACCAACATTCATCAATTCTTCTTATTTCTCTTTCCTTTCTGCTTCCTGCTTTCTCTATTAAATGTTACTTTCTCTCCATACTAAACCATCCTCTCTCTCTCTCTCTCTCTCTCCATACACACCCAGCCAGTTATCCCGACGAAGGAGGACCCTGTATATATCCTTGTATTCTTCCCTTCCTGCAGGAGACCATCATTTACTCCTCTCAGTCCATTCCTGAAGTTTTGGTTTTTTTTGCCAACACTCTCATCCGTCTCTGTCGATCCCAAGATAGCAGTGATTCTTACTTCAATCCTGTGGACCCCAGCTAGCACCGCCATCTTGCTACAGTTCCCAGTTGGTAATGAACCCTTGTCACAGCTGGTAATGAACCCATCACAGCTGGTACTGAACCCATCACAGCTGGTACTGAACCCGTCACAGCTGGTACTGAACCCATCACAGCTGGTACTGAACCCTTCACAGCTGGTACTGAACCCATCACAGCTGGTACTGAACCCACCACAGCTGGTACTGAACCCGTCATAGCTGCTGGTACTGAACCCGTCATATTGGTACTCACCGAGGACGAAGCCATCTCTGGCCCACTGGACGCGCCCCGCCTGGTTGCCGACCTCACACTTCATGACGGCGATGTTGCCCTCGATCACGTGTTGGTTCTTCGGCGGCTTACGAAAAGTTGTCGTTGCTGCGCCCAGGCTGTGAGGGAGAGAAAGGTACTGGTTAGGTGCTGTTCTGTCTATGGAGGAGGGAGAGGGTAAGAGGGAGAGAATAAGAAGGATAGAAAACAGAGGAGGAGGGGGAGAGAGGAGGAAGGGGAAAAGAGAGAGAGAGATATACTGGTTAGATGCTGTTCTGGCAGGTGAGAGAAGGAAGCTTAATTGCTGTTTTGGCCGGTGAATAAGAGAGAGAGAGAGAGAGAGAGAGAGAGAGAGAGAGAGAGAGACTGCATCAGAAACTTCGCCGTAAACACTGAGGAGTTTTCTACATTTGTTTTACTGCTGGGATAATGGGAGGCGAATTTATCATGTGTAGCTGTTTTATGCCATTTGTCATGGACTAATGTGCTGGAGAGGTGGGAGGGGTGGAGGGATGGAGGGAGGGGGAGGTAGGAGGTAAGGAGGGGGAGGGAGAGAGGAGTGGTGGGGAGGGAGAGAGGGAGAGGTAAGAGGTAAGAAGGAGAGGGAGTAGAGGGTGTTCCTAGCTTGTGGAAGGTAATATATGCATCACCACATTGAGAGAGAGAGAGAGAGAGAGAGAGAGAGAGAGAGAGGTGAGTAACGGAGACACATACACACACACACATGTAGAGACACGGCTAAAGTACTCACTCACTCACTCACTCACTCACTCACTCACACATTAAATTTTTTATATGATATACACAACAGTGAAGAATAAAACTGCATATATTCCTTAACATTCCTAGTAATATCGCTTGAAAAATTCTACACGTTTTCTGTACTAAGCGCTATTTTTCCTCGCTATTATTAGAGAAAATACTATTACCACAGGTCTTTTGTGTGTAAGTCTGTCAACGCTATTGTTTACGAGTTTGTGAACGTCGAGTGAAATGAAATTAAGAGAGTTCTGGTTGAAGTTGGTTGAGTTTTGGTTAGGTGTGGGTTATAATTGGTTGGGTTTTGGATATGGTTGGTTTTTCGCTTTGGATGAGTAGGTATTTGAGTTTTTTGTGACGAAGGACGATAATAAAGAGAGAAAGAGGAGGGAAGAAGGGAGAGGAGGGGAGAAGAAAGCAGGGGAGGAGAAAGGAAAGGAGGGAGGGAGTGACAGCTGGTCTTGTCTCGTGAGTTGGAGGGAGGTCGACGGGGAAAGTGGAACGGAAGGAAGGGAACCGGTAGGAGGGAGCGAAGAAAGAGGAAAGGACGAAGGGGGAAAGGAAAGGAGGTTGAGGGAAGGGAAGAACTTTGAAGAGAGGAGAGAAAGAATATGACCAGGTACATAACAGGACACCTACCTCTCTCTCTCTCTCTCTCTCTCTCTCTCTCTCTCTCTCTCTCTCTCTCAGTAAACTACAGCAGAATATGTCAGTTGACTCGAACTAAAAAAAAATAAGTTAATTAAATTACAGGTAAGTCCAGGTGGACCCCCAGGTGTGTACTCTACGTAAACTTAGGAAAAAAAGTTTTAAAGAAATTGAAGACAAAGTTGAGGGGCACTGAAAATATAGTCCATTAGGGCATTTGCGTTATTATTTCTTATTAAACAACCGAGAGAGAGAGAGAGAGAGAGAGAGAGAGAGAGAGAGAGAGAGTGTGTGTGTGTGTGTGTGTGTGTGTGTGTGTGTGTGTGTGTGTGTGTGTGTGTGTGTGTGTGTGTGTGTGTGTGTGTGTGATGTTTACATAATAAGATTACCTCTACGCATCATCTTGCCCCCTCAGCTTCCTACACACTTACAACAACAAGGTGAAAAAACTCTCCACATTTTCTACTATATGAGGCAGGTAGGACGATAGTGCCATGGTTTAACATTTTTACATTGGAAATAAAACAGATAAAGTCCCCTAATATACTGTTTTATTTTTGTTTTCTTTACGTTTTATCTACCTTTACAAACGAAATAAAACACAAGTATACTTCTTATTTATTATGTATGGTTAAAATGACCTTCCGGTACTATGTAAAAAAACCGAAATAAATAATAATAATAATAATAATAATAATAATAATAATAATAATAATAATAATAATAATAATAATAATAATAATAAACTATTTAAAAGAATAGTACAAATAACTAACAAATAAAACGATAGATAAATTCCCCTCCCATATAAAACCATCTTACCAACACTCAAAGAGACTCGGGCCGCCTATGTTGAAATATGATTATCGAGATGAAATGGGAAAATATTCGCCCAGCCTTCCATTAGCTCTCGAGGCAAAAAAAACCCGAGAACATCCGGAACTGAAACAAAAACAAAGCTTCTTCCCTACCACTTTTGTACGACCCACGTCAAGACTTAAGAGGGGTGAGGGGTGAGGGGGAGAGGGGTGAGGGAGGGGGGTGAGGAGGGGGTGAGGGGTGAGGGGTGAGGGAGAGAGGGAAGAGATAGAAAAGATGGGACGGGATGAAATGTGATGGAAATGAAGGAAAAAACGAATGAAGGGAGAGATGGAATGGGAATAAAAAGAGTGGGTGAAGCGTAAAGGGAAAAGTGTGGGGAAGAGGAAGAAGTAGGATATGAATGAAGGACAGAGAGGAAGGAGAGGGTGAGGGGGTATGAGAGTAAAGGAAGAGGAAAGGAAAATATGGAGCGGGAGAGAAGGAACGGGGGAAGAGTGAGAAGAGAGGGAAGGAATAGAATTGGAGTGGGAGAGAGGGGGAGAAGAGGCGAGAGAGTGTGATGGGAAAGTGGAGACAGAGGAGATGGGAGAAATAAGCGAAAGAGTAAAGAAGAGAAAGAGAATGTGAATAAATGAGATGAGAAATGATGAGAGAGAGAGAGAGAGAGAGAGAGAGAGAGAGAGAGAGAGAGAAAGAGAGAGAGAGAGAGAGAGAGAGAGAGAGAGAGAGAGAGAGAGAGAGAGAGAGAGAGAGAGAGAGAGAGAGAGAGAGAGAGAGAGAAAGAGAGAGAGAGAGAGAGAGAGAGAGAGAGAGAGAGAGTCCCTTGAACAATAATTGCATTACCAGCCTCTCGACAATCGCCTAAAGAGGACGTCGATTTCTTTTTCTCTGGGACGAAATTAAGAGGCTTTTTGCATCCGTGATTCGTTCGACCTCTCCCTGTTTGCCAACTTAAGGCGTTCCTCTTGTAAGTTCTCGTGCTTTTCTCTCCAGTTTCTGTCTATTTCTGTCAGTTTTCTATGTCTGCATTAGGTAGGTTTCTGTTTATTTCTGTCTATATCAGGTTTGTCTATTTCTATATCTACATCAAATTTTTGTCTATTTCTGTCTAAATCAACTTTGTCTATTTCTATGTCTAAATCAGCTTTCTGTCTATTTCTATGTCTAAATCGGCTTTCTGCCTGTCTCTTGTCTGGTTCGGTGTGCTCAATCTTAGTCAGGAGGTTTTCTACATATGACTAATGTCTTCTCATATATGGCTAAACATAGCTAATGATAAACTCTTGGTTATGTCTTTCACTTTATTTCTTGATCTTAAAATTATTCTCCCATGATGGTTTATTTTACACAATGTGAGCAAGTGGGTTCATACCTCTACACAAGGAAGGAATGAAGGAAGGAAGGAAGGAAGGAAGGAAGGAAGGGGGCAGTGGAATGTGAATGTTAGTACTATATTGTATTGGGTGTTGTATGGGAGAAGTACAACTCGCACCAAAAAGTATCTTTACGACATTGAGTGAAACAATATGACACAACAGACGAAGGACTTTGACAACCCTACCGAGACAACAGGAGTCGCAGTGTTCATTTTGAAACTCATCAAACCTTCCATGAAGATACTTTTTTGACGAGAGTATTTACAAGTAATGAATGGATGAAGGCGAGTGAGTAGGTTTTTTTTTTTTTGCAGTTGACGTCGACCTTCCCTGCAGCACTGAGTCTTACATGATTAAAAACAAACAACAACAACAACAACAACAAAAAGAGGAGATATATTCGAATTTCACCGTGAAATATAACTTTTGTTGAAACTTCTTTTACCGATTGCATAAAAGTGTTCGATTTGGGTTTATGAAATACAGTTGTGTTTGGATGTCTAGTTTATTCATACCTACCACCTGTTTCCACCCCCCTTCTCTCCCATTCCTCTTCTATCCTCTCTTCCTCGCACATTCCTCCTCTTCCTTTTCCCTTTATAGCAATTTCTCTCTCTCAGTTCCTACCTTCCACCCCTCCCCCATTCTCTCTCTCTCCCTGCCTCTATCCTTTCCCTACCCTCAGTCCCTCCCTACCCCCAGTCCCCCCCCCCCTACTCCCAAGCACAGTGGGACACCAAGCCGCGGGATCATTGGGAAGACCCTCACTACCAACAACTTGCCAATAAAACAGATCCAGGGAGGTAGGACGGTCTGCCCGGGAGTTGGTGGTCAAGAGATAGATTATATGTGAGGCTGACTGGCCAGCCCTTAAGGAGGGATGGAAGGCGGGAGGAAGTAATTAGTCTGAAAATGATAATGACAGACAGACAGACAGACAGACAAGTATATAGTATATAACACAAACGGTTGTATGATATCCCAAAATTAAGAAAAGGAGAAAGAAAAAAATATAAAGAAAAGGTATAAAAAAAAAGACAGACATCTGTGAAATTCTAAAACCCGTGTTCATTTCACACCCCGAAAAATACACAGACAAAAGAAATCGCACTCACGCCCAAACTGAAATTCCCAATCTACCACGAATTCGGTAAACACGAGAGAGCGAAGGGACTTCCTACCACCCCTTCGCCCACACCCTTTTAGCCATCCCAAATCCCCCATCCCTATCCACCCACCCTCTGCCCATCTCCCCCTCCACCCAGCCACCACCCTCTGCTTGTCCTTTCAATACGCCCTATATGGAAAGCTGGGTCCTCCTAGCAAATCCCATCAGCGACACAATACGATCAGCAAGTGAAACAAAACACACTCGCCGGCCTGTAACCCACTTCACGGGGCTGATCAAAGCGCTCGAATATTATCTGACACGCACACGCCAGGTGAGAGATAATTAACCTATGATTGAACTGGGGGAGAGGCTCACAGGTTAAGCTTAGCTATATTTCGTCAGG